TTTTTTTTTTTTTTTTTTTTTTGTCGATATAAATTAATTTTAATGATTACAAATATTTGTTAATTTTTTTTCCAATAAAATTTGTAGTTGTTACGGTCCCTGCTTAAAATATAATTCGAAATCCATCTGGAGCGCAGTTTTTACAAAAACAATAAAATATTCCCCTATACTTATACTTGTGCATCTGTATGTTTTCAGACGGTTTTAGTATTCTAGCCAGATAGAAAAGAGAGCAAACTGTGCACGTGTATATATTTAAGAGACAAATATTTGCTAATTAAGAATGTAGAATTCGACGGAGACGTTCGGCGGCGTCGCTTTCATTTATTTCTGGAGGCGATATCTGTTAATGCACACATCTCGCTCTATGTGAATGAAGGTTTTAACGAGGAGTTTATGTGGCTGATTGCTTTAGGTTGTAAATCAAAATGAACTAAAAGTGCAGGGCATCTGCTAGTCGAGCAGCGCCGCCTAGAGCTTTCTCACTCGTTTGGCTTGTTGATAAAGATTTCTTCGCCCACCTCGCCGGATTATTAATTATAATTTATGTGCAACTAATCGGTTTATTTTTGATCGCGCCAGGTAAGTGTGATTAATAAATATTTGCTTCTTCTTCTTTCCGAATATTAACAAAACAATAAAAGTAAATATAAAAATAAGTCTGGTAGTGCTATAGACACAGTCTATGAAAGACTATCATTGACTGGACCCAAGAGACATGCCCAGCTCTGTTTGGCTTTATTATTTGTTGGCCAATTTATTCGGGCTTGAATTTCAGTTTGCACATTAAACGACATTCACGGAATCAAATCATAACTTTGTATAAATTGAAAAGTCAATCAAACATGTGTTCGTAGCAATACGTGAAATTTCAATTCACAGCTTCATCAATAGGTGCAAAATTTTTGAGGTTGTTTTGTAAATTTGTGTATTCGCTCTTTAGGTACAAATACATATAGACGTATATGTATATATATCATAAATACTATATTTGAACTATGATCTGATTGAACGTATTCGATACGGATAATACAATAAATACGGATCGTTTCACAGCTCTAACTATCCGTATTTTGAATGACCTTCTTTGCAGAGGTAAACCACATCTAATCCGAATCTATATCAAGTTAACAAAATGCATCAAAAGACGACGTACGCCAAGAGCAGAATGTGCTTAGAGCTGATTATCCGCCAGGTGAACACTCTACTCGCCATACACCTGTGATAGAAGCACAACTCAAGCCCCATTCGAGTAGCATTGGAGGTGCCGTGTGCTCATTAGGCAACATGAAGTGCACGCCGATTATAGCCAGATTTGATTTCTCGGCCGTCATTCTGCTTTCGCTGGTCTATTGTTCTCAACAAGCAAGCACTAATTGCTATGACAACCACGACGGATTTAATGCGATTATTAATAATCTGCCAAGGGATGCGGGCAACGCAATCGATACGCTCGGCACATTGGCCCAGGCGCCGCCAATGACTACGAATCCGCCCATTGATGCCTCCGTCTGGAAGTGTTGCTGCTGGGAAGCAACTAATCACGTAAGTGCCCATCGGCTGCATAGGTAACTGAATATCTGCACTTTACTCTGGATAACAATTTCATCAAACATATAGACATGTATCCTTAGATTCATATCTCTAAGTGATGATTCGCTTGCGCAATCAAGCGGGTATATCGGTTTGCGCAATGTATTTTCTTCTACCTTTCACGCTTCTGACGGTTAAATATAGGCCCCACACATTCTAAAAATTTTAGCTTTCCATTAAATTATTCTACAATAATACACTTATTTACATCGTTCAGATAAGTAGGTCAAGGTTCCGCCCACATTGCCGCGTATCTTGCTGGGTTGAACTGCATCTTCTATAGTAATTAACTGCCTTTTTAGCGAGTTATTTTTATTGAAGGCAATCAGCAAATTATGTTAGCTTTATATTGTATATATTGACTAAACGTAGAGTAAGGTGCAGTGGCCTAGGGGTGGTTGTCTTCATAGGCGGCTGGAGACAATTAAGTTTGTGGCGAGCGAGTTGTTGTGTTTGTCTATACGAAGAGCTCGGAGTCGCTTGGGCCTATCATTAATGAAGTGAGCTAAAATTTCCTTGATTGGTTTACTACTAACCTCCTCTGCAGAAGGATAAATCTAAAATTTGACAAGTAATTTAGTTTTTCTGTATGCTTGCTGAAAGCATTGCCAAGCGTGAATTGATTAACTGTATGTCAGGATAAATTCTATTGGGATTCGGATGCTCCTTGTGCTGCCGATATATATATAAAAAAAAAGAAGCAAGCTAAAATACGATAATCGATTTGACTTTAGAAAATTTGAATAATTAAAATGAGCAGTAATTCCAATAATAATATAATGCTACTATCCTAATCGGAATGTATCTACATTTTGTGCAGAATGACAGCTTCAATATGAATGTCAATGTCAAAGCAACTAGAATCGTTTAGTTTACAACTTGATTCATGATTAGCTAATTTATTGTCATGGCTTTGATCTAAATAAAGTCCTGCTTATTCCGGACGACAACAACCATCTGATAACGCAATTTTCTAATCAATATGCACAATTTATGTTTGCATAGAACGAGTTCGAGTGCCGTTGCGAGGGGGAGGCGTTGACGCGTGTGCCCCAAACTTTGAAGCTGCCGCTGCAAAGGCTCACAATTGCATCCGCCGGATTGCCGCGGCTGCGGTCGATGGGGCTGAAAGTTTACGCCCCAACTCTATTGGATGTGTGAGTGACAGCTACAAATACGAAATGTCAAATATAAATGAATTTAAAGTTCAAATGTTGCTCAACTTTCAGTGCATTTATAGACTGTTTGCAGCTGGAGACCATACAGAGTGGAGCCTTCTCTAACCTAACGGTTCTGCGTGCCATGTACGTATATGCACATATAAATGTATATACATTGCTAATAATATATCATATGTTTTTTATAGCTACATTTCCAATGCCCCAAAATTAAGCTACCTGGCCAAAAATGTGTTTGAGGGCATTTCCGATACCATTGAAATCATGTGAGTAAAAACTCATTTATAGCGCAATCAATTGTAAAGTTTACGAATTCAGTTCATTCAATTAGACGCAGAGAGCTTTTGATTTACTCTATGTACTTGTTGAACTCAAAGGAATATTCAATACAGGGAGTTTCCATAAGCGCATGAGATCGAAATGAATTGAGCTGAGTCATGGAAGCGCGCTTTCATATGAATTCCCTTTTTATGGACTGATAGCAGAGATATTATATTATATTTAATATAGTCATGGGATAGAAATATGGAAGAGGAAGAAATACTAATATTGCTGTGAGAAAGGTTTGTGGTCAACGGGGCATATTAAGCCGACATAATTCACACATACCTCATAGCAGTTCTGAGGGATTGTGAGTGACTGTGCATTTACCTGTGTAAATTTCGATTGTGTTTTGTTTACCATTTGAAAATGCTTCTCTCGCTTTCATGCCCATAGCATATAATGCATGGAAGTCTATATAGTTTTCGTGAAATGATTCCATATATAGTAATTTTCCTGGCTTCATTCGTTAGTCTGCTTCAAAAGATATGTATTCATTTCTCCTCGCTCCAATTATAGTGCTAAAAATACAACAACAAAAACCTTTTATATTTTGACAAATAGTGAATTTTATAGCTCTTGATTAGCACTATAATTGGTGCGTTTTCAAGATATTTACAAAAACCAAGGAGTTCGCACGCCACGAGAAGTGACTTTTCTGGAGAAATGCCCACTCTTATTTACACTATAATAAAAAGATATCGCGCGATATATAATAGCATATATTTATATATGCTATATATATACACACACATATAGATATATATATA